GTGTGTGTGTGTGTGTGTGTGTGTGTGTGTGTGTGTGTGTGTGTGTTTGGGTGTGGGGCTGGTGACGCACCTTCATGTGTGTCTCAGATTGTGCACAATTCAGAGTGAAGTCATTAATAGGAAAACAAAAACTGTAGCTCATGCTTCTGTTTTTCTCCCCCCCCCCCCTCAGGCTACCTTGGTTACACCAGTGGTCTGTCCCTGCTCTGCATGGTGTTCTTTCTGATTGTGGTGAGTAAAATCCACCTGTTTCCTCCATAATGGGCTGAACTCTGTTCCAAAGGCTTCTCAGCGAGACACAATAGACAGCTTTGGAGATCAACTGCATAGCAGCTAATTTAACCTCAAACATGTCGCCTTGTCCTCCAGGTGATCATCAAGAAGTTCCAGCTCCCGTGCCCGCTCCCCGAGGACTTCAGCACTCTGAACGAAACGATAAGCAAAGTGCTGAACGCCACCTTGTCCCACCTGAACACCACCGCCGTGGACTACAGCGAGGACTTATGCACTCCAAAATACTTTGTCTTCAACTCTCAGGTAAAGCTCTATGAGACGCAGAACATCTTAAGGATTGAAATGTGTGCCAAATCCACCAAAAAAAAGTGTTTTGAGCGTTAATGTTTTTTTTCCCCCCCAGACTGTGTACGCCGTTCCCATCCTGACCTTCGCCTTCGTGTGCCACCCCGCCATTCTGCCCATGTACGAGGAGCTCAAAGAGTGAGTGCGCACTTCTTTCACTTCTTTAACTCGGACTACAAACCACAGCTGCTTTCTTATCATGTGTCTAACGCGAGTTTATCTCACATTTGTATAAAAACTCAATTGAACTCCCCGCTCCTCTCCCGCCCCAAACAGCCGTTCTCACCGAAGGATGCAGGGTGTTGCCAATGTGTCCTTCCTGGCCATGTTCATCATGTACCTGCTGGCCGCCCTCTTCGGATATCTGACCTTCAACGGTGAGTCGCTTTGACGTGGACAATCAATGTAATGTATTTATAGAAATATAAAATCACTGCACGGTGGAACAGTTTTGGCATGTAGCTAATTCCTCTTCTCTAATTTGACATTGTTCATTTTGAAGTGAAGCAAAAAGATGGCATTAAAAACATGCTAAAACTCTTCAGGAACAGATGAGTGACTGCAGTGTGGGTTTACAAGCGGCCATTGTAGCTGATACAAAATGTCAGAGCCGATCAATCATTCAACGTTGAAGGACAAAGCTTCCAGCTCCCAATTAAACAGCGAGTATCTTTCCTGGAAAGACAAAACAAAAAAAAACCCGCAGGATTCAAGGCCTGTTGCGCAAGAGTGTGAAAAACAAATCCACCTGAAGCAGCTGCACAGTGTGCCACCATGTTTGTGTTCCTGTTTGTCATGGCAGGAACATTCTGGTTATACAAGAGCTTGATAATAACATCTTCAACCGTCTTGGTAGGGTGAAGACCTGACGTGGTGGTGGTGCACAGTTCAGAGTCAGGGCAGGTAGTGATTGAGAAATCGCTGTGACGTCTGTCCTAACCTGCTTGTCAGGGTTTGCCAGTTTGAGTAAACTGCAAGAAAGACTTTGAATTGGAGGAAACAAAAGAAATACTCAAGAAGTGTCAAAAACGTGTGATGTGACACTTGCAGAAGTCACGTACAAGTCAAATGTTTCACATACTACGGAAAAAAAGTTCCTCGTCAGAGTAGGTTTGGTGTCTTCAGATATTTTCGGGGGGCAAACAGCGAAAAAAGATGAACTTTTACACTCTAATGAAGCCTTTTCATAGAGTCTACAGCCATCATACAACATATATATAACATCGTCTTTAAGGCTTGGCACAGCTGCCCTTTTATCTAAATGCTAATGTTAGCGAGGTAACATGCTGATGTTTAGCAGATATGTTAACCATGGTTACCGTCTACATGTGTTAGCATGCTGACATTTGCTAATTAGCACTAAACACAAAGTACAGCTGAGGCACAGGAAAATATAAAAACCTAGTAACTATTAATTAAGCTAATAACGCGTTTCTTCATTCCGATAAATGCTTTGGATTCAGTTTTAAGTAAGCTGTTCTCGACCCAAAAGCATGTTTTTATAAATGTTATAATGATGAAACGTTTGTGAGTCGTGCAGCGTGTGCTTCAGGTCTAAAGGCCCTTTGCTGTCTTTCTACACAGTGCACGTGGAGCCTGAGTTGCTGCACACCTACTCCAAGGTCTACAAGTCTGATGTGCTCCTGCTGGTCGTCCGTGTGGCTGTGCTGACCGCTGTCACGCTCACCGTCCCCGTGGTGCTGTTCCCTGTAAGTGTCAAAGAGGTCTACCTGATCCCATCAGTGCTGAAGGGAAGTTAGTTGCCCGTGTAGGATAACCTCTGTTTTTTTTTTTTTTAAATCTGCCTCCATAGATTCGTACCTCCGTCAACCATCTGCTGTGTGCCTCCAAGGAGTTCAGCTGGATCCGCCACACAATCATCACCACGGTCCTGTTGGCCGGCACCAACTGCTTGGTCATCTTTGTCCCCACCATCAGGGACATCTTTGGCTTCATCGGTGGGTGTCTGTGTTAATGTGTATGATAATGCCATAAAAAGCCTTTTTTGAAATAGAAGATGTTGACTAAAATGCCAAATTTTTCATCCCTCACACAGGCGCCTCTGCTGCTGCCATGCTCATCTTCATCCTGCCCTCGGCTTTCTACATCAAACTGGTCAAGAAGGAGTCCATGAAGTCTGTGCAAAAGATCGGGGTAAGGAGTTAGTTCAAAGTGACGCTGTAGCTAGCAGTCCCTTAGCTTAGCTTAGCATAAAGACTGAATACTTAAGGAAACAGCTAGCTTTGGGTAACACCATCCACCCATCATCTGTAAAATTCACTGATTAACATGTTATATGTTTTTTGACTATGTTTATGCTAAGCTAACATTACCATATTCTGTTGAACATAAACACAAGAGAATTAAGCTTCACATCTAACTCTTGGCTCCTTAAAGTTGCTCGGGGTGAACATGTTAGCTAAATGTGAAATCGTTCTCCTCACCAGGCCGCCGCCTTCCTGCTGTTAGGCTTCTTTGTCATGATCGGCAGCATGACCCTCATCATCCTGGATTGGATCCACAATGCCACAGCCAGCCCGGTGGTACACGCCGACGGACTCTAAAGCTCCACTTCTCCAACAAGGAGAGAGGAGGCTCCTGGACTGCTACGACTGCGCAAACCAACAAAGATCAAACCTATTGTAAAAGAAGAAAAACACAAGAACTCACTTGATGCTCTGCTTTGACTTCCTGAGCGACAAACCATGCCATTCCAAGAGAATGTATTGAACTTGTACAGTATGCTGTTATAGGCCACAAAGATTGGTGTTTTACTTGTTTCTTCTCTTTTGTCGTAACTTTTTTTCATTGTTGTTTTTGCTAAAAAAAACAAATGTTTTTTTAATGTTCTTTTGTAGGTATGGTACAGCGGAAAACAAATATTTGAAGGTGCCTCAAAGCAGAGATGACATAGTTGTAGATTTCAAAATGAAGCTTACACTCAGGTACGGCGTGCCGGTGTGGCTGTGACCTCAGAGCTCAGCAACAACCAATCCTGCTGAGAAACATACGTGAACCTCCTGAAGATCGACGAGGTAACTTGAAAGTTCATCCTCCTCAAGGGCGATTCAATTCCTTCCAACATTTGTTTGTTTTCCTTTTCTTTTTTTTGACTTTGCCAAAAATGTATTTGTTTAGCATCTTTGTATATTGAAAAGCACTTACTGTTCAGCACACTTGGAGAAAAACAATGTCAGTTTTCACAGGCGAGGCCTACGACACCGCCTTTTGAGTATTTCGTACAAAGGCTTTGTGACCTTACTTAGTGTCAGCTTTCCATGTAAACCCCAATATAAGTCAACAGAACCTGCCTTTTCAAACCTGACACTGAGAGCTGTAGAGTTCCTCATTCGAGGACTCTCACAAACTGTATTTACTCTTAAAAACCTGCTGAAGATCTTGTTGGAAAAGCGCGATCAGTGACGACACTACTTTTTTTTTTGTCTTTACGGGAGAATACTTTGAATTTGACCACACGCAGTGGTTGTAATATACCTGTTAAACTTGCAGAAAAAAAACAAAAAACGAGAACCAGTCTGTCACAATATTTTGAGTGTTTTTTTGTGTACAGTTGTGCAGTTTTCTGCTTTCGAAACGTTTCACAAAGAAGAACTTGATGACTCGACGCGGACTTCGTTCCCCGTCGAGTCGTGAACCTGTCATCTGACGGTGCACTGTGCTTCCAACACTAACTTAACACATCACCAAACTGTTATTGTCCAACATCTATTTATGGAAGACCGTGAAATCAATGTAATTTAATCTATTTTACTATATTTATAAAATATTGTATGTATATATATATATATATATATATATATATATATCTATTGAGTTCAACTGTATATACGCTTTGTTTTGTTTGAATTTATTTTATTTTTTTTACACCGATGCATTGGAGCTGTAAAACAAAAGCGAAAAATCCCCGAGCTGGTGAATTTGTGATATTGAATTGGCTCCAACGCACTGGAGCTTCAACTGTTCATCTCAGTTTAGACTGAATTATCCTACTGCATCGATTCTGTGAAAACTCTGTTACATGTGGAAGCCGCGGATACAGCAGCAGCAGTCTTGTTTCCTTTTGGGCCCTCAGCAGAATGTTGTTAATGCACATCTTGGTTGGAGAGTCCGTCAGCCATCTCTTGACTTCAGGAGCAAAGAGGGCTATGCCCACCAGTGTTACAGTCTTGTTTCAATGAAACATTATGTACATCCTGTAAATAATGTCCAATTAAAATAGATAAAGATAAACTAATAACATGTTGGTGTTCTTTGTGCCATGTGCCAGCTCATTTTCATCTGAGAAGAGTTTTGTGAATGTGATTGATGAGGACAAGGAGTTACAACTGACTGACCTTCAATTGTCTGGTCAGATTAGTGATAAGACATACAAGTTAAATATACTAAAGACAAACTGATGATAAATCATTCCAAATGTACAAAGAGGCATAGTAAAAAAAAAAAAACACCTTTCTACGCTTTCTGTCACTTCCCTTTTCGGCCTTGGTTTTCTATTGTTCCACATTAGCAGTAACGTTTGAGAATGTGGTTTATGAGGACAAGAGGTTAGAAACTGATCTGGAATTCTCATTTGACCAGGTCCTCCATCGTGCAATTAACAGGGACTTTGAATGTCTTGTCAGATGGTTTTCTGAGTTACAGTCCACCTCAGCAAGGCCACAAGGAGGCGTTAAAACAGTTTTTGATGGAAAATACTTTTCAATTTTGTCTTAGAATATAAGAAAGAAAAACGTGTTAAATGTGTCCGAGTCTCTCTTTACATGCTGCTTTCATGAAGTTTATTATGTCTGCCTGAACACATACAATTGTATACCTTTAAAAGTGCTTTGGTCACGCTGTATTAAACTTCCACATTAACGTTAAAATGTATTAGTTAAATATACTAAAGACAAACTGAATGCTTAACAAAACCTGCTTAGTCATGCCCCCCCCCCATCACGTTCTCTTTCTCAGAGCAGTAACTCCTAAATTCTGAAGATTTCTAAAATGTAAAAAAAAAAAAAAATGTACTCGGTGCAGGCAAACAGAAATGCCTTTTCTCCTGGCTGATGGTCTTTTTCTTTAGACAACGCTGCTCCCTAGCGGTCATCAGACGACACTCCACAGCTGGAGACAAATTATTTCAACCTTTTTTAATCCCACACAGATTAAATATTTATAGAACTCTGACACAAGATAGGTCGACTCAAGTAGTGTACTTTAAAATGATGAGATATGCCAGAAAGAAACACACCGACATAACATTTCAGCTCATGTACAACTTCTTTCATTCAAGGCCGCAATCGTTACTGACCATGGAGACAGTTGACAAATGTCTCATCACAAGGTCCATTTAGTTTTTGTTACAGCACAGCTATAATTCCTGTTAATTTGGCTCCATTTTTAACATGTTTCACTCTGCCACCCCCTTAACCACTGCTTTTTTTAATCTGTTCAACCAAGTTTATTATTCTAGTGCTCTGAAATGTCGTGCACGAACCACGTAAACCTGCACAGGTGAGATCACTTAATCGGCTGATTAGACGTCAGGAATGTGTGCGCATGCGGACAATGATTGACTGACAGCTCTCGAGCACAGGTGTTACTAATAACGTTAATGGCGGCTCTGTTGCATTCAAGCGTCCTAGTAAATCGTGAGAGAGACAGCGTTGACAACAGAACCCTGAAACCTCAACCTCAACACAATTCAGACATAATTCGTAACTATTTATACCTGTGTCAAGTTTGACATGTCAGTCTCTCTAGTGAAAAATAGTGTCAGTCATAGTCCGGTGACAGGATATAATTATATCATACATAAACACTTGAAACTCACCGTCTGGTCAGAAACTCCAAATTAATAACATTTCTTCATTAACTGTTCATTTGTAAATAGGTAGCTGTTCGCTCTTAAATTTGCCGTAGCACATGGTGTGACGCGTCAGGTTGTTGTGCTGCCCCCTAGTGAACATGTGACTAAGTATTATTGTTATGACTGTATTGAACAGTAATATACTTTTGCCAGTGTTCCAACAGACTGTACATCTAACTGTGTTTCACTTGATGTCTGTAAAGTAAGGGAGAAGTCCCATTACCTACCTGCGTGGCTTCCTCCCGTCACGTGAAGCCTCCCACAAACACACAGCAGATCAGGCAGCAGCTGTTTTATTTCACTACTCTCTGGATACTTTGCACAGATCGTGTTCACCCATTGACATTTAATACACATTCAGGCAAAGGGTGGGGTTCACTTCACTTGATCTGACCCCCTAGGACCCATGCCTTACATTACAAACTCACTTCTGATTGGCCGTCCCGCTCAGCATCTCCTCAACCAATCAGGGCCCTGATTACAATCACACTCATCAGATTCCAGCCCTTAATTGAACCACAGAGATGAATAAAGGCAATGCACTGTTGTTTTTTTAAACTAGGCCTCATCTGAAATATTATATAATATTTTAAAAAAAGAACATTGACAATATTCAATTAATAAGCTATGCGATCAGGATGCCATTTAGGAGGAAGTCATCGTACCAGCCGGCACCCTGGAAGAGGCTCTCCACTACAGGAGCCGACGTCGTTCGCCGAGCGTTGCATCTTTAGTATCAACCCCACCTCCCACGCTACCCTGCGCTCCTTACAGTAGTTCCCCAAGTCACATGATCTATGCAAAATAAAGGGCTCTTGCATTACAATTTCTGATTGGGTAATTCTTTTTCTAACAAAATATGAAAATCTATAGAAAAAAATCTTCCATCATTCAATAAAAGGTAGAGATATCAAAAAAAAGAAAATGTTGGCTCTCCGTTCAGTTTGGAGGCTAAATTCCAGCCAGAGGAAATTGCACTTGAGCAGCTGAATGGGTCCGTGAGGGCGTCGCCACGCCAGCAGAAGGGCGGGGTTTCATTTCTTGCGGGCATGCTTGTATTTGTCCACGTAGGCCTTCACCAGGTTGGCCACCTTACTGGAGTTCACCTCACCACTCTTGCTGTGACACACCTGAGGATATAAACACAAGCGAGGCCCAACAAACTGTCAAATTTACGGCAAGTATTAGCTTGCATGTCAAAGCAGTGAGCATGGGGATGTCACAAGAGCTACATTCTGAGAAAGGTGCCTTTCTTCTTAGCCTATCCAAAGCCCAAAACACAAGAGCAGAAGAGTACGGACCTAAGACAAGCTAAAATTGTTAGCATGCTTGGCTAACTAGCACTTTGTGGCACTTTAAAGGCTATGGGGCAGATCAGAAATAACGGTACTTTGTGGGGTTACAGGCTAAAAGTGCTGCTCACAACTAGCACATCCACTGTGTAGCATTTCCTCTCTGTGTGGAAAGCAGGGTGCTATCGGAGTTTGGGCTAACGTTTAGCTGCTCCGTCCTGCTCTCTACTGGATTTGAGGAACCTATACACCAGCGTCACCGGACAAAAGTGAAACGAGTGAAAATCTGAAAGTATGTCAGAGAAGTAGTCAAACAGACTAAACTTATATTCACATTTAAACTTGTAGTAACTAATTCTACTCTGCAAACCAAGAACAAGGCCGTCTCTTTATTTCCAAGTCTTCTGCAGGGATTATCATACAAACAGTAACTAAGGAGGCGGGGCTTACACAGAGAGGCGTTTACCTTCTCTACCGCTTTGCGGACAATCTCTTTGTACTCCTCCTTTGTGATTTCCTTCTTTTGGTAATAGGGTTTGATGGCATTCTTCACTTCATTGACAGCTCTCTCTTGGATCTGGTGCTTCTAAAGCAGAAAGGGGAAATCAAGGTTGCTGGAAAGAAATCGACAGAAACGCACGAGGAAACGTGGACCGGTGGCAGCGCGTTACCTTTTCTTTTTTGGAGCCGTCAGCTTGAGCCTTATATTGGCCGGGTTGAGTTGTAGAGGATGGTAGAAACTGGCTGGGTGCTGACTGGCCGTAGGTCGCAACTCCAGCTTTGCTTGGGGTGGGAAGAAGGCCGGGTTTCCCATAACCCATCATTGTATTCGCCATCTAGGCCGAACCAGAGAAGGCAGAACAGTACTTGTAGATTTAATTTTTTACTTTATTTATATCTTATTTTAAATGCTAATGGGTATACAGAGTCTCTAGTCCTGTCCACGTCCCAGTATACCATACCTGTGTCGCGTAGCCATCGGGCTGAGCCGCTGCCGTATGGCCGCCTTGATGCATGGGTCGAGGAGGCGGGGGAGGGGGTGGGAGGCCCTGAGCGCCGACAGCAGGGACCTGAAGCAGCGGTACGGCAGGGTGGAGGTGCACGGGGACCTGAGGAGGCATGGCGTACGGCGCCGCAGGCTGCAAGCTGACCGGCAGGGCTCCTCGCGGGCCCTGTACGGGGTAGTGTTGCTGGAGGACATTCAGCTGAGGGGGGGCCGCGTTCATCACAGGCCCCGGAGCATTACCCGGGACCGCCTGGGCAGAAGGCTCGCTTTTAGTGGGATCTGGAGAACAAGAAAACACAAAATTAAGAACTCATCTATGAATGTATGTAAGCTAGAATAGCTATATTTTGTAGTTGATTTTAAGTGCCGTATATTTAATAATGTTTAGAGATATTAAATGAATTCATAACATAAAATGTGCAAAAGATACTTCACAGAAGGTGGCTCACACAATGCATGGTAGAAGTACAAATAGATACATGTTCTGGTAAAACAAATGACTTTCAGACATTGCTCTTTCCTCTGAAATGTAATAAAGTGCCGGTGCCTACGGGTGACTTTTGTCTTGTGCCACAGTGGAGCAATTAGCCTCAAAGAGAACATTAATCCCAAACGCCATGACTACGGCTTGTATCTTAGAGGGACATTTGGCTGACTCATTACTTGCTATTTGTCATCTCCTTTTCCTCAAGCAGTAGCACTTGTGTTTTTGGAGTGCTGATAAATAACTGCACAGAGAAAGTTTATATAGATGTGGGGTGAAACTGAGGAGGGTTTTGACCTGCTGCTGCCGGCTGCTCCTCCTCTTGTCGGTTCCAGCCTCCTGGTCCTCCCCTCTCCCTCTTGGAGTAATAATCCTGAACGTCTGCGGGCAGTGTCCTCCTGACAGCCCAGCTGGACGCTGATGACCAGCCTGACCGGTCCATGTTGTCTCCTGAGTCGGACTCTTTCCTGCGGCCACCACCTCGGTTTTCATTGAAGCGGCTGTACGCGTCATTCCCTGAATTGTTGCCTGTACCTGAGAAGTTGTTTCTGGGTTGCCAGCGGTTGTCGGACGTTTCCTCCTGCTGGCTGTAGAAGCTGCGGCCGCCCCGCCCCGCCCCCCGGCCGCGTTCTCCACGGCCCCGTGACTCCCCTCTGTTCCCCCCACTGCTGCGGTCTTCCCAGCGCGAGCCGCCGCTGGAGCTCTTGCTGTCGGCTTCACCGCGACTCTTTTCGGTGACCCAGTCTGGATTTTCCGACCAGCCCTGGCGTTCAGGGGAACTTTCCGTGGGCACACCGTTTTCAGAGCGCCCAGCACCTCCTTGATGCCTCCGTCCCTCAACACCAGACCCACTGCCCTGCCCGGACCTCCAGCCCCCTCTGCGCTCCTTCCTCTGGGGAGACTGCTCTCTGGAGGCCGGCCGTTCGGGGCTGGGCCCTCGTCTGAAGGATCTTGTTCTGGATCTTGATCTAGACCGAGACCGGGACCGGGACTTGGACCTAGAGCGACTCCGGGATCGCTTCCTCCTCCTTTCACGACTACGTTCCCTTCTAGAATAGTCTCTCTCACCGTCCCGGTCCCGGTCCTTCTCTCTGCTGCGAGCTCGGGACGAGCGGCTAGAGGGCGGACTGCCGTCTCGCTCTTTCGACCGCGAGCGCCTGGATTCTTCTCGCTTGGAGTCCTTCCAGGTAGAGGTTGGGGAGTGGAAGCGAGAGCGCCTCTGCTTGCCGTTCTTCCTCTCTTGGCTCTTTTCTCTCTCCTGTTGCTCGTCGCTCTCGTCCTTGGCCACGTGGCTTGCGGAACCAGCAGGTTTCGCAGAGGCTGACGCAGCACTCTCCTTCGGCAGTTCCAAAACGGGACTGTTGGCCTGCTCGCTCATGGGTGAACTGCAGTCCATGGGGACAACTTTAGTGTCATCCTTGGATGGACCGTCATCCTTGGTTCCTTCCCCAGAACCGTCGCCTACTGAAGGATCACGCTCTGACGCAAACGTTTTTACATCAGCGTCCTCGGAGGCTTTTGGTTCTGAGACAGCTGAATTATCCTCCAACTCTCTAGCAGAGGGGGAAGCCGGTTGTGGAGAATTCTCACGTGATTCAGCCATCACTGCATTGGAAGATTCTTCGTTGGTGGCTTCTTCTGCACAAATCTCCATGTCATCATCATCCTCCTGCTCTGCCTGGTCATCGCAGTGTGGAGACATCAAGTTGTCCAGCAGGGCATTCTCAGAGTGAGAGGGTGAAGCACCTTTCTCAGAGTGAGAGGGTGATGGCGAGGCCTCTTTCTCAGAGTGAGAGGGTGAGGGCGAGGCCTCTTTCTCAGAGTGAGAGGGTGAGGGTAAGGGCGAGGCCCCTTTCTCAGAGTGAGAGGGTGAGGGCGAGGCCTCTTTCTCAGAGTGAGAGGGTGATGGTGACATCCTCTTCTCAGAGTCCTTTCCTCCAGAGGAAACGGGGCTTGCTGGCTCTTCCTCCTCCCTCTTGCTCTGGTCGCCCACTGAGCACGAACCGGGGCTGTCAGGAGCAGAGTCCGAGGGACAAGACAGGTCCTCGTCTCGCTCATCTGGTTTCAGCTTACGTTCATTAGATCGTTCTTGAGTCTCATCGCTGTCCTGTCCCACATCGTTGCTCAAGGGTGCAGCGCCTCCGAGCTCATCAGCAGAGTTGAAGTCGCCCTGGTCTTCATTGAGGCTCCCTTCAGCATCAGACTGCTTCTGCTTTGAGTTGTTCAAATCCGGTTCCTGATCGGTTTTGTCCTCTTCCTTCTCCATGTTGTCACATCCGTCCCCCTCCTCCTCGTCCTCACTTGCTGCCGGGCTGCTGACGACTTGGGGAGATTTCTTTTTTCTTGCCGTGGCTTTCCGCTTCCCACTGGCCTTTCGGTTTGTCACCCGTTTGCCCTTCCTCTTGGCTGGCGCTTGGGCCGCCCTGCCCGGCTTGGCGGACTGGCCGGTAGACGAGTCCGAGTCTGACGCACTGGACTGCGGAGGTGATGACAGATCCGACGCGGGAGCCTCCTCCTGGCTTTTACTGTTGCGTCCAGATCGCCTGGATGGCAGAGACTTGGCCTCTTTGGTGGGAGCTTTGGAGGTCGAAGCTCGACCGCCTCGCTTCTCGCCTCCTTTTGGACACGTGATGGCGCAGACAACACCCTGAAACACTGTGGGAGAGAAATCATATGAGCAGGGCCCCAATATTTACAGATACATTCAGCTGCCAAACATTTTTAAATATAAATCATTTAGAAATCTACCAAGTCACCTAGATTGCTTCATTTTCTGTGTTAAATTGTTCGCTGCTGCCATTTATGCTACATAAAAAACAAACAAAAAATGTAACCCATTACCGTGTACCTAAATATACCAAATAATAAAGCTTGACTCACTGAAACAATAAACAGAGTCGAAATAATTTGTGTCCAATGATCAATTAGTATTAGTTTTCATCCTTTTATTTACGCATGTTAGTACCACATGATTTGCAACAAACACCGGCAACAGACAAGACTCACCGAAGTGACCGGGGCCAAGGGGTGAACTGGAGGTAAAGGGAGACGGAAGCTGGCTGTGGTTCCAACCAGAGGGATGGAAACTCTGCCTGTAAAACCAACCAACACAAAACAACTTGCTCAAAAAGAGAACAAGCCATCCGTTACATTTCTGTCAAAGATGAAAGAAAACACACAGTAAGGCAGTGGTTCTCAAACTTTTTCTGTCACGCCCCACTTTGGAGGAAGAAAAATGTTCATGCCCCACCGCCCCAACAAAATTGTAACAAAATGGTCCATGTTGAACTTTTATTGAAATAGCAACATTTTGTGACTCCTCCATCTGTGCTTTTTCAAATAATAGAATAAAGAAAATTGCAATCACATTCAAGTAAACCAGATCGCTCCGTCAGACAAAAACAAATACAATGTGCAATCGCTTTGTTAGAACAATGCAAAAAAAGTTCAATCTGTGCAAAAAATAGCTTATTGTGGCTGCAATTCACCTGTTTTGCACTGAATATCTTTTCAAGATAATAACAATAAAGTGCAACCTGTGAAAAACTAAACAAAACAAGTTCAAATATTTGGCAATAAAGAGTTTTACACTGCATATCTTTTCAAAACAATAATGTGCAACCTGTGCAAAACTAAACAAAATGAGTGCAGATATGTGTGAGCCATATGCTCACACATATCAGGAGCATTTTATGGACATGTGAGCCCTTGTTGCTGTACTTTATCTCCTTGGAGCAGAGGCTGCCTTATCGATGTATTTAAAATACTGACAGCGGGAATCTGTACTGCGCTCCCTTCACGTCTGTTTAGACCTCCACCTTTATCCAGGCCCAGCTCCACCTTTATCCAGGCCCAGCTCCACCTTTATCCAGGCCCAGCTCCACTCACATCTCAGCCCTGCGTCAAGCTGCGCTACAGACAGCCTCCTCTTCCTGAAGCTCTTTGACCTCATCATCTCATCAGTATCTGGGCCTTTCATTCTACTTTGAGTTAAAACAAACAACCTGCAACCAGATCCGCCGGTGTTCTGGTTTAACGTTAACGAGTGAACTGAACCGCAACACGGGGGGGGGGGGGGGGCATCACGTTTCGTTTTTTCCTCCTAACTCGTGATAATTGACGAACGTTAACAGTCCACGAAGTTCCGCATGCTGTGGACGTTAACTTAACCCAGCAAGTCTGAACGGTTACGGAACATGACGTAACTCGTCACGTCACATCAAAGATGTTTTATTGTGAAGATCACGACATCACCTTTTCTCCTGTCTCACTCCAATCTGAGAAACGCTGGCTGGCCAGTTGGCACCCCCCCCCCCCCCAAAAAAAAAAAACCCTCTACGGATCTACACGATTCACGTGGATGATATATTGTGATTCAAAATGGCGAATTTCGCCGAAAAGCGTCAAGTTCGCAGGTATGAATAAAGTTCTTGAGATAAAAGAATTCTGCATTTCCCCCTGCGCCCCACCTGCAATGCCGCTGTTTGAGAACCACTGCAGTAAGGGATGGTCATACGTCGTACTGCATAACTACATGTTTTATCACTGCGATACAAAAACTTAACACAGACTGAAAAGGTGCGCTGGAATACCAGTTTTACTTGGTTGATGATAACAACACCGCAGACAATGAGCATCGCTACCATAGCTTTCAAAAGGGCACTGCTTTAGCCACAAGGGGTCTATTTCTATTGATCGTGCAGCATTATTCATTTAATTAACTTTTCTTACCAACACATCTGGTTTCCCCTAGATTACACTGGACATGCTGTGTGCCATCCCCCCTCTTTCCTCTCCTTTTCCTCTAGCTGCTCAAATAAAACGCAAGAAAAGCCCTAAATAAATCCACATTTAACTGCTGAAACTGGACATAAAGGACACACTTGCTTCCAACTTGTTTGGTGTGAACACGGCCTCAGAAGGGGCAAACAAAGCAACATTAGTGGTCAGTTGGGACGTCACTACCTTGAGGTGCCGTTGACGGGGATGGGAGCAGCAGGAGAAAGCCACGGACAGTCTTGCCTCTGGGGTTTGCAGTGATTGAACCCGGTGTCATATGGTATGTCCTCGGCCACCCACACAGGCTCTGCACTGCAGGAGAAGGAAAACGAGAGGAGAGTTGTTTATGAAGTACTTCCAAATGTTTAACGGGATAGGTTGGATTTATCTGAAGTGGGACTGTATGAGCTACTTATCCGTGGTTATTGTTTCACCTACAGTAGATGGTGGTCGGCACACACCCAGTTTAGAGAAACAGACGGCCCTTTCCAACAGGGAACCGAAGCAGTAACATCCATCTATGCTCTTTTCAAACTCTTACTTTACCTTACAGAACACAGGAGTTGCAGGTCTACAGTCTGGATTGGATAGTTTGTCTGTGTTATTCTGTCACTTTGGTGAATCTGAACTAACCGTTTGGCTGCTTTGAAGAGAGCGGAGATAACGGCTTCAGTTCCCCGTCAGAAAGGGCTGTCTGACGGCAAGGTTAAGTAAAATGTAATTTGAAAAAACTATTTTGTGTACACGATATTGATTTCTTTGGGGCGTTTGAAATCTGTATTGCTGCTGAGCCCGTCCACAGCAGTACGTGAATCAGACCATTTAAAGTAATTTGCCTTGAACTCCAGCAGGGGGCCTCCTTAAAAGGCCCTGTCCCCCCCCTGACCCTTTGTCCTCCTGGTAAACTAGGCTAATTAACCTATTAACCAGTGTATTACTGCATTGGCCATAATTCATTGTTCTATAATAATTCATCACAGAGGGAAGCGTGACTTACATGTCCTGAGTAGATGATGTCGTTAATGAGACACAGGGAGACGGTGACCAAGTACAGCACTCTGTTCCTCTCACCTGGAGGAAACACATCACACTGATGAGACCGAACACTGAAGAACATTTCATTCACAGTACACCAAACACTGGAACAATGACAAATGAACTAATAAAAAAAATACCTTTTTTCTGCTCAGTGAGGAGGGGTCATCCTCGTTACCTGGAAAGAGACATTCACAGACTGTTGGACCTCGTTTACAAAATATGAGTCGCTCACACGTATTTCTGGAGGGAGAGGGGCGTTAACATACATTTCCTCACAAGTCCTTTTGTTTTGGCGTCTGCCGTCCTCTCCAGCTTTTGCCGTCTCAGTCTTCTCGCAGGCTTACTTCTGAAAACAAACCCACAGTGAAATTGTTCCAAGTTGATTTCATAGGCAACAAAAACACAGATAATGACACAGAATTTTATACATCACCACTTTTTCCCTGATTAATGATCGATTAAGTAGATCTCATTAAGTCATTTCTACATTCTCTGTGAAGACCTTTGAGACAAATACTAACTTTATGATCCTACCGAAAAAAAAGAAAAAGGCTCACACTGACTTGAGACAGACTTTTTGTTCGGGGTTTCTACAGCAGCAACTCTCAGCTTCAGGTGGAGTCGCTCGTTTCCTCACAGGAACCTTAAAACGTGATGACAAAAGCACATTTCATTCACACAGAGGTCAGTCAAGGATTTCTGGGTTTGACTGACAGCTGACCCGGCTTTATTTAAACCAACAACAAATGCCCAAATTTAAATTATCTTTACTTTTTTTTTGTGTCATCCATCGGAGAAAATTATGCCATCCACGATCAATTATAAAGCTTACTAGTAGTGGCAGGACACGCGTGGGAGTGTGTGTGTGTGGATGTAGAGAGACTGAGGGAGTGGGCGGAGCTGGCTAACGTCCTCTTGTGTACAGTCAGTTTATCTGCACGACAGCGTGCAGTGCCGCTTCTGATTGGGCTCACACAGCAGCAGAAAGGTACGCTATAAAGTGAACACTAAAGTCCCTCAAGTACAATCTAATTCTGTAGGAAGCATTGTAGAGAGCCAGATTACAAACTGCATGCAGACAGGTGAATGCCCAGACAAGGCAACGCTTACATGACGATGATTTGTTTTCCCCTCAACAGAGCAGGTCATTTCAGATGAACTTAAAAACAAAGTTTCCTTGAGTTCACAGTGTTGGATTATGAAAAGAACAAACAGCAGCCCACGGCCTGTTCTGAACGACAAATGCAGCCATGATACCCTCTGCCCTGACAGAGAAAACATGGGTGACTGACCTGCACACAGCTTAAATTCCCGTCCCATCTGTAAACGTTGGTGAAAGGTCTTCTATCCACCGGGCAGGAAGGAGCCATCTGCAACTGTAACGTGAATTAAACAGCTTAATAAAAAAAATCAACCAATCTAAGCTTGTCTAAATGCTTTTCAGGCTTTTCCATTCTGTTCATAAGCCACCGAGATGAGTCCTCCAACAAAGAGTTTCTCACAACCATTATATTATGAAGTCCAAACTCGCCCACCAATTCACTACTGCTGATACCACTATATTATCAAAAGATTTTTAAAACAATGTAAGATTTTATGTCGCAGCATTGAATGTCACCTCTGCCCATGTGAGGAGACATCTGAGGCAGAAGACGTGGCAGCAGCTGTCGGGCATTGCCAGCTCGCCTCCAGCCAGGATGCCGAGGCAGATAGGACACCTCTCTTCCTCCTCAGCATCCGTCCCATCCGGCGGGCCCTGACCGCCTGAACACACACAAACACAGGGTTTTTAATTATTTAGGATTCACATCTAATGTTTTCTACTCGGTGTGAACAGAAAAAAAAAAAAAGGTGCACTAAAGATAAAGGTTTTTCCAATGCTGTTCATGCAAACAAACCACAACATATCATCTCAACAACCTAAAACATCACTGTGCCGATTCAAGTCTCACCACTTCCAGCTCCAGTCATGTCCGCCCCCGGGCTGTCCCGATCACCGCTACAACACAGAGAAGGAGGGCAGATGCAGATGAAGCGGTTGTTGATTCACAAGGGGAGGAGTACAGCTGATATACACTATGTTATGCACTCTGTTTAGCCCACAGGGAATTTCAAGTAAAATGTCGATATCAGCAGCAAGACACAAAAGAAAATACGGCAAAAGTCCGTAACAAGAGTGTTAGATTGGCGTGTTTACATTTCCAAGATGGCTAGTGGTTGGCAATGTTTACATCATCTCCACCACTTACTATGGAGTTTGAGAACGATGCGTGTGTTGTGATATTTCATTTTAGATGAGGTGAGGTTGTAACGCAACTGCTTCCATGACTGAGTCACAAAATCAAATATATTACTGAGAAAACAAAAAGGGGAAAGAAATATTTTTCCAAGACTTTGCAAAAGCTGCTGCCTCTGCAACCCAGACCTGGCTGAAGCAGCAGAAAAAGGACGGATGTTATTAATAAATTGTCCAGCTCCAGCATCCAGAGGTCCTACAAAAAACTTTTAATGCTACAATCCCACAGCAGAAATACCATTCAGCCCAATATAGGCCAGCCCAAAGCATTCAAGCTCAGTTTTCACCAACAACCAGTTGATCATCTGCGCAAATTTGACTGCTGGACTGTTTGTGTTAATTCTCCTCAAACCACAGGCGTACCAACCTGTGGGCTAGCTAGCCAGTGTGCCTGGGTGTTTGCGTTAAGAGCTTATGCCACAAAACCACTGCAGCTAATGCCGATGATATAGCTGATGTCGCCTCCTCAAAAATGTAAACGGGAAGTTAAAGAGACTCAGAAATCCTCTCGTTTTCAATATCGCATATCAGGCAGGATATTATTGAAAAATAATAAAAATTAACTTCTGAGTGGACAAATTATATCATGGTGACAGTGTCTAAAATTAAACAATTTTACTGCTTGAGACTTTTATAAATTAAAAACTATTCATTGATTACACAGAACCAAAATATCGATGGATGTAATGGAAATCCTTGTATGTTGCTGTCTTCATTTGGACATTTCAAAATTATAGCTCTTTTAAGTGAAAGTGAAATGTTTTTTCTCCTTGATAGTTTGACTCACTCACTCTTTGTTCAGGCAACAGGGACAGATAACAGTGGCCAGAAACCAATAGAGACAGACACTGATAAGATTTGTGATCAGTTGTCTATTACCATTTCCTGTTGTGCTTCACAGGCTTGAACGTCCAGAATATACACTTTACCGTTATTTACCTTTAAAGCCATCGTGAACTAACCTAGACCCAGCAGACTTCTCTTGACTGTCTGACAGTGAGCAGGAAGTATGTGCCTCGGATTTAAAAAGAGAGTGTGACATCTGATCCGGAACCAGTCTTGGTTTTTGCCACTTTAATTATGACGATCTTAGAACTTGTCGAAGGTGAAACCTTCTCAACAGACGTAGACCAGAGCTTCGGTGAACGTTTAATTTCTCAACACAAAATAAGACAACACAGAACATTACACACACAAGCCTTGGGCTCAAACTGTCATTTTAACTTGTGCACCGAACACTGCCAGATAACTTACGCCTCCACCAGGAGTTAGCCTATACAAATATTATGTCATTGTACTTTCAATTGGGTGATTGGTGTGGGCACGTATCAGATCATTTGGTGGGCAGAAACTCATAAAAGCGTGTTGCTGCACGGCCTGGCTCCCAGAGATACAAAATTAGCACCAACTTGATCAACCAGTGCCAACACGACGATGACAACATGATTGTTGATGGTTAGCCAGGCAGCTATTGCTAGCTAAAAACACAGCTACCCAAGGGCTAGCTGGTTGTTGTTAGCGCGAAAGCAAACATGGCTAAATAGTTTCAAATATTAGCCACGATAATTACACTGAAGGTCATAAGTTAGCCAGCTAGCTAGCTAGTTAGCAGCAAGCGAATGTAGCCGAAAGCTATCTAGCTGCTTTGAATAACAGCACCTGCTAACGTCCCTTTCAGCTTGCTAGCAGTTAACGTTAGCTGCATTTAGCATTAGCTCGAGTTAGCTGCGTGTCGTTACTCACCTTTAAGTGCTGCTGCAGCTGCTTTGCACCTAGTAGTCTGTTTTTAGCGTCCAAACTAGTGCTATGAAATGCTGACGAGTCGCACTATCCGGGAAATATGTTTAGCTAAAAACGGAGCGTAGCTTTCAGAAAGTCTCAGCCACATGTCTCGCGGTCTGGTTGAGAGTTGGTGCAGCTGGCGCCCCCTACCGGAACCAGCGAGCATTATAGAGCAGAGTAGAGTTATCCCTCTGGTGGTATTTACCGTACAAAGAAATGCAGCAACAGGTTAGAGTAGCCAATAAGGGCATTTAACTTCCACTTGCTTTGTTTGTTGTGCCCTAAATCTGCTGATTTATTTGGCAGATAAATTGCTGATGAGGTAAATTGGGGGTTATGCATTAGTTTGCCTTTTTTTCACGGAAGACATTCTAACTTGACACAGAAGGAAAAAAGCACAGGTTTAAAAGATAAAGTGAATAATGGCTGAATTCCATTTAGCTGCTTTGATTTCAGGGTCCTGCACTTGTGCAAGGACTATATAAAAGAAGAAAAGGTCGCTACATGCAGAATTGCCAAGTCAGTAGTATTCTACACACATTTGATTGTAATATATGTCAATTTGATGTCAATAACTAACCAACCATCAAACCGTTAATGATATTAATATTCAGGAGGGCTAACATTAGCCAGTTCTTTCTATTATTTTCAGTGGGTGGTGCTAATCACCATATTTTATAACATTATACCTATATAAATCTGTATCTTTGGACTGGGATTTGGGACTTTGTTTATCAATGAACTAAGTTAGCATCTGCATTTTGTTTAGCTAACGTTAGCCAGCAATAACTCTGTTGAAACGTACTAAATAAATTTGGAGACAACCGTTAACGTTAGTTAGTGTTGGTGAGCATTAGCAAATGTAACAGCCTCTCTAGCTTAATAGTGTCATGATTTATGTGTATGCTAGCTTCAAATATAAGCTAGATGACTAGCATGAATGTAAATCGCTGAGGCAAAGTGCAGGCAATGTAGCATAAGGTCAAGTCCTATATTTACATATATTTATATTTAAAAACGTCAGTCAACATGTGTTTTTCTGTATTAGTATTTTTCGGTCAAAGGTGCAACAACACAAATATGATTGGTTGTAGTGAGATTCACTTTAATAAAATTGTCACTAAAGTCTGGCACCAATGCAAAACTAGAAAATGCATTTCCTGCTGAAAATGCGTTGGAATGCTGAAAGCTGAAATTAATTGTAAAAAAATTGCTGAAAATACAGAAATGGGAGACTACCTGTCTGAAAAATGTTGAAGCCCGAAAAGCATTTAAACTGCACTGCTGAAAACCCTTCTAGTTGAAATGTTTAACTATGGTGTCTGTAGCTGAAAGTATGAGGAAGAAGAAGGCTTTGAAAGTTGAAGAAGTTTAACAGGATTTGAAGATTTTCTCCATAGAGATCCCATTCAAAAGAAAATTGCAAAAAGCTTAATAATTCAAAAAGTTTAAAGATTACAAATATGAAAAGATATAGCCATCATGAGCTGAAAGAGCTGAACATTTTCATATTTGAACGGATTCTGTAGCTTCAAAAATGAAGAAGAAGAAGAAGAAGAGAGCCAAAATACGTACGGAAGAAGTTGAATAAAGAGAAATTGTTGGAATGCTTAACAGCATTCCAACAATTATGGTTTAATTCCATTGAGTTGCTCCAGTTTCAGGGTCCTGGTATTGCGCATGGTGGCTCACTGTCACACTGTCATCACTCACTGCGACAATATAATAGAACTGAACCATCTCAATGTCAAAAAGTGGAGGACTATTACAGCACGTCTGAATTCGATCCATTATTTAACGCAAGGATTTTATGGACACAAACCACGTCTTAAATCTATGGTTGTTTAAATTAGCAGTGATAGCTACCATGACGGAAAAGGGAACACCAGCTATTTAAACCACACCTCAGCAAACAGCAATGGCCGCTGATCAAAGACAGAAGCAAAAATAAACCAACATCCGGATCTCACATTGTGCTTCGAGCGCTTAACAAAATGCGAGACTGTAAAGTCTTTTGATGAATTTCCGAAAGTTCTGTGTAATGTAAGATTAAGCACAAAGTATGTTTAGGGAGCTGTGGGAAGTGGAGCGCTCAGTAAAGTCATTAGCATTTCAATTATGTTGAAAGGAACAAGCCAAAGGAAAGTGTCCAGTGGTTAGGCAGAACAAAAGGATAAGCTTGGAAGCAAATGGAGCTTGTTTGGTCATATCAGAAAAGAGGGCGGTTTGAAGTCCCCACTATACCAACCATAGAAAATGAGTGCTGAATATTAAAACCACTGGCATCTGTTCAGACGTCTCTTATTTAGCACACAACACAGGGAGCCGGGATGAATCCTGGCAAGGATTCAGTTGGAGTTCTCTACCCCAGTAGGTCCTCAGCCTCTTTTTGTCAGAAAACCTTGTCAGATGAACTTCAGCTGGCGACATCTTCCAAGCATGGTCATTTGAATTCATTTTAAATGTCCCTATAAAAGTGGCTATTGTTACAATAATGTCTTTATTAAATTAACTGTTCAATGTTCCGGTCGGTTTGGACACGTTCGCATTACTTGCAGCGACGAAGGCTGGATGTTTCATTGATTCATTCAATACTTTTAGCAAAACATTTCAACAGTTCATGCTTTCAGCTAATTATTAGAATAGAAAATAGAAATATTACAACCGTTAATCAATTACTTTTAGCCAACTATTACAAGCGTGTATCCATTATGCTACATTTAGCTAATATAGTTAGCCAAATATTAAACCGTTTACCCATTACGTAGCTCTACAACCATCAGTTATTTGAACTTTTTTGAAAAAGCTTAAAGTAACGGAATGTATATAAATGAATTTTAGCTAAGTATTCAACTGTTTAATACTTTCAGTAATCCATTTCAACCATTTATTAGTTAATTTAAGCTAAATATTTCAACCGTTTATTCATCACCATGAGCTATTTTAACCGTTTATTCATCGCTTTTAGCTATTTTAACCGTTTATTCATCACTTTTAGCTATTTTAACCATAACTACTTCAAAATGTGTATTCATTACTTTTAGCAGACCATTTCAACCTTTTGCCCATAGTTATTCATTGACTGTTCAGACCTCAACTCACTTCTTCTCATGCACTGCCAATCACAACAGTCAAGTGTTAGTTAAAAAGTTAGTTGAGGTACTCCGCAATCTTTCCATGTACCCCCTGCTGCATGAATACCTGGTGGAATACAAGTACCCCTGGTTAGGAATCCCTGCTCTTCATCGACTCCTGATTGACAGGAAATTGCGAGAAATTGGAGAGGGGGGGGGGAAAAGGTAAAGAAACAAGCGCAAAAAACCAAAGCAAAATGTTCAGTGTTTTATTTAAAAACTATAAACAGTCACCAAAGTAAATAAAGCCAATCTCTAACAGACTGTTAGGTCTATGTATAGTCACACATCCTACTGACACCGCAGAAATGAGGATGGTAGGGTCGCCCCGGTCAGATGCTAATACGACAGGCAGTCATAAATGTTACACAACACACGGTAGAGAGGACAGTCTGAGGACGTGAGCCGGAATGTGGCATGGTATTAAGAATGAAAAAATAGTACAATAAAACTCCACACTATATTAAGATAGAAAAAAGTAGTGAAGAAAATATCATACCTGCACGTAAAGCAAAGAACACAGGAGAAAACCTGTATAAAAACTCCATGTATTTAAACCAATTTACAAATACAAAAAAATTTTGGTACGTGCACTGTGGCCCGTACAATGACAAAACGCTTACAGTGGATATATGTTACTTGTGTGTGTGTGTGTTGAGGGGAGAGGCGTGTGAGGGAAGAGGAAGGGAAGAGAATACCTTCAATATTTTTTTTTTCTTCTACAAAATGACATGAGATATATTATTCCATACTCTTTCAGCCAGCAAAATGAGTTCTACAAGGTATTATAATACAAAAAATGTCACAGTTCCACAAAAAACTGTTTTTTACCCCCTCCCTAAGCTTTACAGCATCAGTACCTTTGCAGAATTATTTACAGGTTTTTAAGTACATTCATCCACTGCTGAGTATAGAATCACATTAGATACAAGTGACCAGGGATCATAAAAAAAAGCAACAAACGAAAACATACTACTTTATTCAATTCTACCAAAGTAATGCTTCTATTACTCCACAGAGCAAGTTCTCCAGTGGCTGCATCGGCATGAAAGAGGATCTTCTTTATATATATTCACAACATATTTACAAGATTCTTTTTCATTAATTGTAATGGTATTCATTTCAATAATAAATAAGTGAAAATATATTGACTCAAGTAAGAAAACCAAGCTACCAAGTTTCTAAAGAAAACAACAAAAACAAAAACAAAAAATCATCTGTGCCAGTTGCCAGCCGAGTCCTCCTCCACCCAACCCTGTGGGACACTTACAATAGCCCCCCCACCGTCCATCCGTACTCTTCAGTCAACCGCCACTCACTCCAGCGCACACATCAGTTCACGGGACGAAGAGGAAACAGAACAAAAAGAACCTAAACGAAATGTGCTCATGTTTGGGGTTTCGTCGGTGGAGTCCCGCTGGGGAAGCAGTTTTAAAGAGCCCCCCCTGGTGGGCAGCTGGTGGAAGACCCCTGTGGCAGTTTTTTTTTTTTTTGTGTGTGTGTGTGTGTTTTTGGGTGGATAGGGGAGGGCGGGGGGGTTGGAACACAGGTTGGCGAGGAAAGAGGTGAGGCGCGGCAGAAGGAGGGTCTTCGTTCCGGTCCCCCCCCCCCCTCTGCAGACCCGCTACGGCTCACCGGCGGTGGCTTCCTCCTCTCGTCTCAGGAGAGGAGTCGAGGTTGTCCTTTTTTTTTTTTTTAAGCGTTAAGCCTGAAGCGAGCGCGTCAGTTCGTAAAGGCATTTGGCGAGCGTGGTGGAAACCTCCATGTTACTTAGCGCCAGCACGGACAGGTGCGTCTCATGCCTCTTCACCAACCTGACAGACGGGGGGAGAGAAAGAACATTTCAGCTCAACACCATTTTATTTTGACATCTTTCTGGTCACAAGGTAAGGGAACATCCTAAAAGGCAGAAGGACACTTACATACGACCACAGTCGGAGTGCTTGGCGATGTTCTTTAACGTTAAGGCAGCAGTTAGTCGTATGTGTTTGGTCACTGGTCCCTCTTTCTCATCCTGGGAGAGGAAAAAAAAGATATATTCATGGGTTCCACTTTTTAGAGAGGAGTGAGGATAAGGAGGGGCAGTAGAAGACGGGCACTTATTTGGACATGTGGAGAGGGGAGGAGGGAACGGTGGGCCTTGTTCTACTCACAGTGAAGTCCCTGAAGACCAGGTTTCGAGAGCCTCTGCGAAGGGCCATGAGAGCTGCGCTCGGGTGATTCACGATTGCTTTCGGTGCTCGCGGTGTCGGAGTGCTGCCTGCCGCCGGCGAAGTCCTTAATAACACATCAAGCGCACGTCATTAAGGTTATTTGTCAAACAGCAGCAGGGGTACGCGGCTATTCCCGGGTATTCACATGCAGTATTCCTGGTTTGTGTACTTCTCAGGCACCAATCATGCATCAAGATGAATAAAGAAAAGGTGCACTTACTGGGAAGAAGTCTGATTGGGACTTTGCGCCTGCTGCTCCTCTAGTTTGAGTCCAGCCAGCAAAGCCTCTCGAGAACAGTGCTTGTCCTGGAAAAGTGGAAACAGAGTGGAAACAGATTTATCGTTGGGATGATTTCATGTTGACGCGGCGATGGTACTGTAAAAAAAAAGTTTGGGAACAAAAACACTGAGCGCTAACAGAGACTTCCTGTACGACCGGCCACAGAGGAAGAGGAGGAAGTCTCACCTGTAGATGCGTGATGAAGGACAGTCTCTGCCGGGGAAAAGGTTCACACCCCTCCCATTGACAATGCCCCCCGTACACTCCTTTTCCGCCGTGCTGCATGGCGGCGTGGTAAAACACCCGCGACGGCGTCTCGAACCACCTGAGAGGAGAAAGGAGACGTGATCATTGGACTCTCGGCGAGGACAATTACGCACGGCGGCTTCCGACGCGTACCGTTTACAGGACTGCCACAGACACTTGAAGTTCTGCCCGGCTTTCCTGATCTGCTCCGGTGGCGGCGGCGCTGCGGGGCTCTGCTGCGCCGAGAGGTGCGGGCTGTGGTTACCGCCCAGGGCGGGCTGGGACGCAGGGGGCGGGGTAACTGCAGGCTGTGGGAGAGTCGGAGGGGGAATAAACATGAATTAGCATAAAATAAATGTTTGTCCTGCTAATAGGGAAGTCATTTGTTAAGACGGTTACAAAAATAAAAGTACCAGCTGCAATCGTAACACTAGAGCTGTTGGCTGAGATGTAACCCGGGCCTGTCTGTTGGCACAAGTTGCTCTCTCAGCTGCTTTGCTGTAGGAGGTGGGTATCGGTGGGAGCCACATGGTCTTAACTGGCCCCACCTTCTTAACCTCCAAACAGGGACTCACAAGTGACGTGCAGTAAGTGCATATTTTTTTTTGTTGTTTTTTTTTTTAAACAGAGGAAGTTGATGCCCGCTCGGTTTTGTCCAGGATCTTCTCCAGTGTAAACAGAGCTTTCCATAAACACTGATTACTCATTAAAGTCCAGTCGGCTACTTTAATATATTCATTTTTGATTCTAATTAAATAATCTTGATCAACAGTTTGTCCATTTAACAAGCTTTAAACCAACGAGAGCGTGATGATGGAGAGCGGCGATTCGTCTTCAGGGTTTGACAATTATTGATGACAAAACACATTAAGAATTAGACTGATACTGCACACTCAGTGGACATCCTGATTAGACGGGTTACTAGAGATAAAGTCATTCATTAGTTCAGCTGGTGTCAATAAATAGACACAAATTCAAAAGTTTTGATCAGTCAGAGTTAAGCGTTGTTTTAAATATTTAGAGCCATTTACAGACCGTGTGGACTAAATGGACTAACAAATGCACAAGAAGCCTATTTCTGCTTTATAATAACTCACTGCACGTTTACAATCGGGTAGGCAAACTCATTCAAATATGAAATAATTCAGATCATATGATGCGTATGATGGAATAATGACATGTAATGAGATACGCTGGAGCCCCCTCGGCCCCTACACTTCTCTACTGGCTGGCTCCTCCATAGCGTTGTGGTAAAGCCCTGGTGTAACACCACCAACACGGACTGAATTCTGTTCTTTCACACACCATAATGCAGTAATAGACCTCTGTAGCATACTAAACTATATTGTAATCTTAAATTAAAGCAGCAGAAAAATATCGCAATGAAAAACAATATTACTACTCCAACCTGCAGCACACAGGTCTTAGTCAGCCTGAACCAAAACAGACTTCCAAGCAAATCACGTTTCCCAACTGAACATTTGTTATTAAGTTATTAAGTCCGACACTAAAATATTACACATCTAGAACAGAACATATCAGTTACATAACCGTGTAATTCACAATCAAATCTAGGAATCATACTAAAATCATGTAAAATGTTGGGACTTTACAGGATAAGCATGGTGTGCCGTGGGCCATGCTTTACCCATGATGCTCATTTCAGTGTCTTTTGTGGCAACTCGCAGAAGTGAAGCGTTGGCACACTACCAAGAAACAATAAAACGTCCTTCTGTCATTTTTGCTCGGTGCTAAAATGCCAAAGGACGACCAGTGTCCCTTTTGTTGCTGAATTCTCCACAGACTCTCTGCCGGTGGAACTTCATTCTGTTCCGCAGCCGAAGACATACGCAACTCATTAAGACAGAGGGAGGAGAAAACTAATCTGTGGTCATGGTACCTTGAATCATGTTATAGTGTGGTCTACGTATCAAAAAAAATCTGTCAAATAATAGCTGCATCTCAAGTAAGAGCCACAAACTGCCACAGCTGCATTTTGTTTTAGAACGTGTAAAATGCATTAAACCCCCCCCCCAATCCTAAAATGGATAGTATACAGCTGCCAACAACAGACCACAACGAGTCCATGTTGCAGTTTGTGTGCACACAATTCTGTCTGGCAACATTCAACTCCAGAAGAGGCATTTTGGTTAATGCAAGACAGAAAATATATAATAGATACAAATATATAATGAATATTTCAAGATTTGGCATATGTTTTTACAGTGGGAGATGCCCGTTAAGTAAACATATAATGTGATCTGGTGATTACCAGTAGATGTGCATCACTCACTGGCCAGAAGAAACAATGGTAATCTATTCACTTGCCATTTGGCCGTTGGACAACAAAGTCCATTTTGCACCCTGCCCCGAGGCAAAAATGTATTTAGTAACAAACATAGTATCCACAGACAACGTACGTGACTCTAGTGTCACACACATGCGGACAGACCTGACATGGAGTCACACTACTAGAAGACGAGGCAAATGCGGCTTACTGTGAGACTAACCCTCCAGTGACTCACCGTCGAGCCAGCTGCCAGTGTGAGCGAGCAGTTCCTCTGCTGAGCAGCGTTCTCTATTGCTACTTTGGCTACTGTGCTTGGGTCCGTTCCTGCCGGCACCGCCACCATGGTGGCACTGCTGCCGGCGTTGTTGGGGTCGCTGATGGTGATGATCCGCACCCCCACTTTGTTGGGGATGCCCGAGGACGACGACGCCCCGCCGCGGTCCTCGCTCTCAGCGGGCCTCTTGAGACCCCGGGCCTCGGAGGCCACTCCGTTGGCGGGACTCTGGGAGGTAACGGTAAAAGCAGGGGAGAGGGGGGAGTTGGGGAGCAGTTGCTGTCTTAGTGCAGGCACGCCGTGGCCTGGCCCCAAAGGTCCATTGGTTATTTCCGAGGGAGGCCTGTTGCCTACTGCCTGGGGTCCGTTCGCCAGGCGCTCGGCCAGCTGGGCTTTGGCAGTGTCCTGCTGGGGGGGAGGAGGACTAGAAAGAGGGGGGTCTGACCCGGGACTCTTCTCAGAAGGGCCCACCTCCCCGTTCCCCAAGTACTGTTTGGAAGCAATGTGATTTGGAATGTTTTTGTTTAAGTTGCCGCCACCGTCAACCCGATCAAAGTCACACACCCCGTTGACCAGAGTCTTTTTGGGGTCGGGGTTGCCCTCCAGAGGGGTGTTCAGACTGGGGGAGAGGGCCTGCTTCCCATTAGCAGGGTGGCCCTCCGTAGCCGGGCCATTGAGGGCCCCCTGGGTGTTTCCTGAGTGGTATGGAGGTAGATTAGACTCCATGCACTTCCGACCATTTAGCAGCTTGGCACCCGCAGCAACGTCTCCATTACTGGTTTTGCCGTTGGAGTCTCCTTCTGCCAAAGACGAGTTCTCCATCACCTCTATCTTCCTCTCATGGATGTGCAGCCCCGTGGCGTCCTTGGCCTCCTCCTCCTTTTGACAGATGATCTTGTCTCCTCTGAGGGGAGCTGGCAGTGGTGGTGGAGCGTGGTGGAGCACTGATACAGTAGAGAACGGAGGAGGGGGGACTCCCGGAGCCACAGCACCCTGGCTGACAACGGCGGCGGTAGAGGTGGTGAAGCCAGTGGTGGGGACCACGGTGAATGTGACTTGTCCAGCTGCTGTGGGGCCCTGGATGATGGTAGCTGCCCCCGGGCTACTTGTGGAAATGAGCTGGCCTGGCAAGAGCTGGACCGTCTGGAGGGCTGGGGCTCCTACAGCGGGAACCTGACCAGGAACCAGCTGGACATTGAGCTGCTGAGGTTGAGGAGGGGGACTCTGGGTGCTGTAGCTCGTCTGGTAGATGACCTGCGGACTGGGCGCCATCATGCTGTTCGGAGTGGGCACCTGTGGAGCGGGTAAGATGAGCTTTCCTCCCGGAGTAGAAGGCCCTCGCTTTGGAAGCAGTAGCTGTTTGATCAAGCTGGACTCGGTGGAGGTAGGCTGAGTGGGGGGAGTTTGAGAAACAAGCTGGAGCTGCTGTTGGTGCCGTTTCATGGACAGTGCGTGGCTGACAGTTTGATTGGGCTGGACCTGGGTGTTGGAATGAGAAGCAGGAGGCGGGCAGGGGCTTGAAGCCTGCCCTGCTATCTGGATCGTCTGGGGGCCGGGGATGGCGGAGGGGTTGGCAAGAACGATCTGGTGTATGGCAGGGGTGTAGGCTGGGTTCTGCTGGGGGTTGGGACCGACTATTACAAGGCTCTGCGACTGCTGCTGGTTGGGAGTGGCCATCATGGCCGCCGGTCCGCCCGACTGGCTTGGTGCCGGCTTGGGGGCGATGTTCTGAAATGCGACGCGTGACCCCTGGGAATTGGCCACACCCGCGATGCTAAACACCTGACCCCCACCCCCCGCCTGGATGGAAGAAGAGAGCGTCGATGCCGCGGCAACACCCTGAGGCTCTGCCTGGGGAGCTCCGCCTTGAGGCCCAGACAGGGGAGGGGTTTGAGGCAGGGCTGGGTGCTGGGTGATCGGAGGGCACACGCCGTGCACCCTGGCGGTGAGGATGTGGCCCTGGGGTACCTGCTGAAATAGCGTGACAGGTGTCCCCGTGGGGAGCATGGGGGAGTGCTGCTGAGTCGCAGGGTTCTGGGGGCTGTGGTTCTGGGTGGCCGGCGCCGACGTCGGGATCTGGACCACTAGACCGGACCGGACTGGTTGCTGCTGCACTGCTGCCAGAGGATTTGGTGAAGCCTGCAGGGGCACCGGGTGGCGGGAAACAGTCGGGTGGCTCGCATGAGGAGGTTCCTGTGCAGTCAAGGCGGCACCAGCGATGCCCAGGTTGGGGCCCATCACCCGGACAAACTGGGGTCCAAGACTTGGAGGCCCGAGAGGTAAGCCTGGTCACACGTAACACACAAACACAGAACTGATTAGATCCAAGATGCTGCTACTTTTCCTCGTCTACAAAGACTCTTTTTTTAATCTGTTTGCAGTCATGTTTAACGTTTTTAGTATTTTAGGTGGAGCAAAGAGGAAGTATTACCTTTTACTTTGCTCCTGCTATGTCATATCTTAATATTTCAAGACACAAAACAAACTTATTTTCCTGCAACCATTTCCTCAATATGTTCACCTTTGTAATTAGTTCAACCGTCTTGATCTCAGCTTTCCGCAGCTCTCTCTGTAAGACTGGCAGCATCCTTCTGCACAATATCACTTTTCTGGAATGTCTTTTCCTCCATAGCTCTTTAGCTTCTGATATCTACACCTCGTCTGTTCTAGTCAGCATATTCAGTGACTGGGCTAAACCTGAAGCTTTAATTTATTTTAATGAAAAAGCGTAAACATTCTACTAGTCCTACCTGGAGGCGGGGCCTGAGGGTCGCCAGTGGCTTGGTGCCGGGCTGCCGGAGGTGTTGGAGCTGCTGCCGGGTTCTGCTGCTGGGGCTGCTGGTAGTACAGCTGGATGGGCAGAGGGATCGCCCGGCGCCTCAGCCCTACCAGGAGAATGTGAAGCTGACCGCTGGTCTTGGCCTCGTCTTGCCGCCGCATTGTGTGGTTGGGAAACACGGTCCTGTGGTGGCAAGGTGGGGAGACTCAGGTTCATCAACAAAAGGGAAACATTTGCTGGTATCTTTCTGGAGGATCGTTGTTATCACAATTAAAACTCAAAGCAGTTATGCTTTATTACAGCTGTAGAAAACAGACTCAGAATCTAATTGGACTTCAGACATGGGGGGGGGGGGGGGGGGGGG